TAACAAAAATAAAATTTAAATAAATAAATAAATAAATAAATAAATAAATAAATAAATAATTTTTTAAAAAGGTGTCTGACCTTCTTGTGGTACTTCCTACTCCATATGTGTTTTAGTTTTAATATCGCCTCTCATACAGACAAAAAACCACAACCTAAATAGATGTGCCAGAGTATAAATTCTACAAGCATGGACAAAGCTTTCTCTTGCAGTCCCTATAATACCTAAGACACTTATAAGCAAAATTAATACTAGCTAATTGTTTTTTCTAATAAGGTAGAATAAGGTAAATTATATAACGTAGAACATGAATAAGTACTCACATAACTTTATCAGAATAAAAACATGAAAATTAAAAAGTATTGATTTAAACTAGTTTTAGATGAGGCCTCCTGGGTCAGATCAAGTGAGCCACCCAAATAAGAATCTTGTCTGACCTTGGTAGAAAAGTCCAATTAATTGTCCCAATAATTGTCCCAATAGCATTCAATATTTAGTCATGTACCAAATACTACTAATCATTCTCCATAAATCGTCATGGGTCTAACACTAAAATACTTATATTTAAAGCTATGCCACTCCATAAAAATAAAAAGATCAAGTTGTACATCCTTTTACTTGTCAAAAATTATCTTTCAAGCCATAAGTCTTAACATTCTGGAATATGATGATGAACTCTGTTTTCATTCGACAATCTTCAGGATTTTAGGAACGGTAGTTTCCCCGTTTAGGGAGTGCCTTTCCACAGTAACTTTCTTAGACTGCACTGTCCAAATAGTCTAGACTAAGTCAATGTTAACAACTTGGCCTGACAAATCTAGTGTGGAGCCTACATATTTCAGGTACATACTATTTCCACAGCACAGTTCATTGAACAAACTGCTAAATGAACCAGGATATCAAGATATTAGAAGGTGCAGTTTAAAGATCTTGCCAAAGCAATTAAGCTTTAATACTTATCCACAATCAGCCATTACCACCTGATAGTAAGGAACCAGTACAACAGAGTTAAAAGTTGCCCAGGGGAACCTAAATAAGTTTTTAATATGCCTATGTAGAGAATGTTTATTCTTCCACTTATTCATTAAGACCTTACTTAAAAGGAGGGAAGGTGCCAGTATATAAGGATACACTTATTAGAACTGAAGAATGCATTACAAATTCCCAGGGAGAATCAATTAACATATGCTTTATGTACTTCCTCACAATGGCCTATTTTTTAAACTGACAAGTTAAATAGTGTATTTTAAATGTTGGTATAGGTTCTAAACAAGGTTAAAATCAGTATGTTTCAAAGAAAGTGACTCTAACATAGCCTAATGAGATCCTTCCCCTTTCCAAATCTTTTGAAATCACACTTTGCTCTAACACCACAGGCTCTTATAGGACAACTTGAGTTTAAATTCAGGCTCTGCCACACCTTGAGTATGCTACTTTTAACTCAGTAACCCTAATGACCTCATCTGTAAAATAAGCATAATAATATTTTCCTGCCAGATGGAGCTGATGTGAGGACACTCCATGTAAAGTGTTTAGCATAGTGCCTAGATGTAATAAGCACTCCAATGTTAGTTATCACTACCATCATCATCAGATTCTGTGGACAGAAAGGGCCGCATGCTAACCTGACAAGCTCAGTGAAGGCCTGTGTGGTGGCCTTGCAAACTCAAAGACCTAAAGTAACCTCAAACTACGGTCTGAAATTTAAACATTTTTTATTTTTATTTTTTCGTGAGGCAAGGTTTGTTCAGCAAGCAAAGCAATACTACACTCAACAGAAAGTTCTGAGTTGGTGGCTCAAAGAGCTGCCCTTGGATGTGGGCTAGGGCTCCTTTTAACCCCTTTTTGGAGGGGTTAACTGCTTTCTTCTTTAAACTGCCCTATCGGGGCTTGTTCCATGTCTCCTGTTCTTGTATAGAAGTTAGAGGGGGCTTTTCTTTAGGCCCCTAGCTCTTCTCTAAGTCGGGAGGGTTTAGGGGGTATGGTGAACTAGGGGAAGAAAGGGTGAGGGTACCTAAGAGGCAAGGTCCTGATTAATAATACTTATTTCCAACACTTGCTCTCCCTGTCTGCCCATTGCTAAGTATCCATTGCTAGGTTTCCTGGCCTTGCAGACCCCAAAGTAGTGGTGGCCTTCACTCTTCACTCCCTTTGTCAGAGGTCCAGAAGTAACTTGATCCCTGCCTATTAAACTTCTACTCTAAGCAGTGAACTTTAAGGAGCCAAAGAGGGGTCCCCTGCAGCCATACAGTGAGCTACAAGTGAAAAAGCTCCCAACTTAATGAAAAGGGAATGAAACTTCTGCAAGGTGACTAAGAAGAGGTACTTTCTTCCTATGAAAGAATCCTGTAAGAATACTAAAAGAGTATTTACAGTTAAGTGCATGATTTGGAATGAGGAATGTAGATGTTGCTCTGCTGGCCCAGGCTGTTAATACTCTTCTTATCCCTCCCATGGGCCCCTTAAGCAGTTCATGGCAGGTAGTCATGTCCTAGTCCGGCATCTTCCCTGAAAAAGGTCAATCTTTACCTTAACTGAGCCTGTCTATAGTCTTTTTGCATCTACAACAACATATTTTTGGAATGTCAAAGCACAGGCAGAAACCACAAATCCCCTTATTGTTATTGAGTTAATTGTTGACTGATAACTATCCTGTTCCCACATATATGTAAAAGATATACATGTCTATCATTTTACTTTTTATCCAATCCCAGAGGTTTCTTCACTTTGCTTTCTCCTGCCTCCCTAATCTATCACTAATGGATTTCACATAACCCACTTACATCTTCTCTTTCTACTGTAATATATAAAATAAGGTGCAAAATTGCCATTCTCTGGAGTGTTATCTCAATTCGTTGAGGTTTTCCTCCCCAGCAATTGTTGACAGTTTGGGCTCAAATAAACTCACAAAAATTCTTCACAGGTTTGAATGTGTCTTACGTTGACAATTTTAATGTTTGTCCCTAAACTAATCATTTGGTGGAAGACACATCTAATAATACTGTTTTCTCATAAGTTAGGTTGCTCTATGCCACAATTTTTTGTATCCCCTGCATGTCTGCTTAACTTCCTTATCACAACTCACAAAAGCTTTACTATCCTTGCTAACCTAGATAAAGGGTGTTTTTACTACAGTATGACTTTATGCCTGGCAATAATCCACTATGAAATATACAACTGAAGTTCAACATAACCTTTTTCAGTGAAGAAAGTACCAAGAGTACATATGCTAACACAATTTCCAAAGATTCATGAGCAATCACTTAGAATTAATTAATATTTAAGAGTAAATAAAAATCTAATTATTTATTTAAATAAAATGGCTCCTGTATTTCCAATATTTTATTGCATTAACAACAATTCCAGTCCCCGACTTTAAATAGCCTAGAATTCATCTGATAGATTCTTCTTCAAAATCAAATAGTTACGCCCATAAAAATCACAAGAAACTAACGGGTACAAAACCAAGTCTCTGCCTAAGTATCTTATTAAAAATAGAGTGTTTATCATTTGGGGATCCCTGGAAATACCTTTTTAAAAAGTCTTATAACACAAACTAAAGTACGAGAAACACTAATTGGAAAAGAAGAAATTATGAGTGTAGTGATGGGCAGGGGGGTTGAGAGGAGCTGGGTGGAGGTGGGGTAAAGAAGGAAATGGGGGTCATTTGTAACAGTGTCAACAATTTTTTTTTTAAGGAACAAAAATGAAGTCATGAAAACCCCAATTTCATGTGGGAGATTTTGAATAGGACTCTTTCAATCACACCATAAAAGACTCTATGACAACGCATGTGTGTGTGTATAGGTGCCTTATTATATATAATTATCCTTTTATGCTACACTGTGAGGATAAAAAAAGTTTTATCCTTTTGGAGGGTGGGGGAGATGTGGGTAGTAAGAAGAGAAGGATTTTTTCCAAATTAGGTATGTGTGAGGGAAGGAGAAGTTGAATGGGGACACACAAAAGTATAGGAAGTGGGAATGTTCCAGGAGTGTCCTGAGGACTGTGGAAAGAGAAGCCTGTGCAGAACAGCAAGTGTTTAAGAAGGTGGCCAGTCATGAGGAAGGAAAGGTGACTGAAAACATCAGCTGCAAAACCAGGAGAAGGGGGTTGAACCTTACTTTACTGCTGAACTTTTTTTTAGGGGTTTTGTTTGTTTTTTTTAATAAATTGATGTGAGGGAAGAATGCTTAATAAGATTTATCCGGATGCAAGGTCCAGATGGACTAGAGGATACAGAGACTGATAGTAGCAACACAGGTTATTATAAAAGTCCCTGGTGAGATAAGGACTTGAACTAAAATGAATTGGTTATAAACAACCCCTTTCTTTGGGGGTGTGTCAAAAAGTCATGAGCCACCTTTTATTGAAAATGAGCTCATCGCTTTTAAAATCTTGTGGCATCCAAATCATATTTAACCAAGGTTTATAACCTCAGGCTCCCCACCCTCATGACCAAAACAATTTGATTTTCTTAGTCAAAGGATTATTTGACTTATCAAGTTGAAGCCATTCAGTTTTTGGCCTGCTAACCAGCTAACCAGTTTTCCATTCAGAAAGAGCTCTAAGTGCAAGTCTTCACCCTGAGTTGGCAGGGTCCCTGCATATGTGCACCTTTTGCTCACAGGCCTCGGAGCTGGGAGCTGCCGGGGGCTACAGCCCACAATGAAAGCGTAGCCTGACCCTTTGGGGACTACCCTGCTTCCAGTGGGTCGCTCCAGGGGGAGAACCGGATGCTGGGCCCAGACCCTCCTCGGTGGAGCCCCGGCCGGCCGGAGCCAGCCGAGCTCTGAGGCCCGAGCGCTCCGGCCGCCTAAAGACCCCCATACCCGTGGCCTTCGTCCAGGCCTGGGAAGGGATCTCACGAAGCGGCCTCCCGGCCAGACTCTCCCCGCGACTCTGTCGCAGGGCCCTGTCCCCCGCCGGATCCCTCTGGTGCCTCAACCGAAGCCTCGCCGCCGGCCCCTCACCCTTCCCCGCCCACCGGCTCCGCTCACCCAGAAGATGAGGTTGAGAAACACCAGCACAGTCTTGGAGGAGGTGATGCCGCACTGGCCCATGGTGCCAGCGGTCGCTGGGGCCCAGTTGGGCGAGCCAGATGAGCCCACCCAACAAGGCCGCAATGGCGAGTGCGCCTCCTGGCTGGGAACTGCACGGGCTTGCGTGGCGCTCCCCTCAGCCCCTGGCGACAGTGCAGAGCCAGAGCCCCAGCAAGCACCAGGCTCCTCTGCGCAGGCGCTGCAGTCCCCCAAAAGCCCCCACGCTGCTCCCTAGCAACAGAGTTGCGCCCCAGACTGGCAGCTTCCGCCAATCACTCCCTTGGTGGCCTACTGCGAGGCCAGGCCTCTTAAAGGAGCCAAAGATTCAGTGACTGGTGGCCTCTGGCCACCCTTGGATGCAGATGGTTCATTAGGGAAGTTCCATTGGACTAAACTCACTTCCCTCCTGTTGAGCCACTTTTACTATGCCAGCCTTATAAATGATTCTAAGCCACTGTCTTTCCACCTAGCCCATTTTCCCTGTTAACCCTCAGTGCGTGATTGTTGGCATCAATTCAACACCAATAGGAATCCTCAATTTGGGGTGCAATGAATAAGTGAACTTTATTCAATACAAACAGTTCAATGGTCATACAATACAGCTGTGGAACAGCATGATTCTGGAGCAGGTCAATGGCATTACAGCTCAATTATGAAATAGCACCACTGTGAGGTTGACCCTGTCAGACCCTGTCTCCTGGGGCAAGGCTCATCTCTGGCTAGACAGCTCTGCTGTGGGCTGATTCAAGTTGGTATGCTTCAACTCACCCTGTGAGTTGCCCTGGGAAGAGACCTTTGTTGGTTCAGCTCCAACCAGGAACCCTCAATCTGCTGTCTCCAATGGATAAGGGAAAGCAGTCTTATATAGAAAGACGTCCCTGCCCCTAGTCCTTAATTGGTCTTTTCTCATGCAAATAAGGACTCAAATCCTCACCATTTGCTTGGTCCAAAAAATACTGTCCTGATTGGTTGGAATGGAGCTGCTCTGATTGATTAGTGAAGATGCTAATGAGGATATAACTGTACAGCTCCAATTGGACAGAAAAAGTTTCAGTCTTATTGGCTGAAATACAAATTCAAGAACTCCTTTATAAAGGCTGGCTCAGTTGGCAGAAACAGTGCAGGCAGGCAGGCAGATTGTAGTAGGAGGCAGGCAGTTCAGTACAGGCTTCTCCCTGAAGCTATTTAGAATTGGCTGGTAAGCTCTGTTTTATATTTGAGCCCAGTTAGCCACAAAGAGTCTTTTTTGGTACCTACCTTCTTTTTCAGTTTTTCAGCCTTTAAAGGAGGTTGCAGACACTCCCACTCCACATCGAGATTTTTCTGACCAGGTAACACCGAAACACTGTTTGGGAGAAATGCAGTGAACATTAACAAATATTTATGGAGAATTTATTGTGCCATGTGCTAGGCTAACTCCATGAAGAGTCATCAGAAAAGAGAAAAGGCTGGTGATGGGGTTGGCAAGACAGATACACGTTTTTGTGTGAATATGGTTGGGGCAAGGTAACACATCAAGTCTATTCCAGGGTAGGACATTTTGGACCAAGATTTAGAACAATTACATAAACATCTTTTTGCATTGCATCATTTCACACTATTCCCCTAATTTTGGATCACCATTAATACTTTTGTGAGAGCTTACCCTTTGTCCAGGTCTTTATGTCTATTAGCTCATTTAACCTTGTCACAACCTTAGGTGGAAGTTACTGTGGTTGTCAGCCCCACAATGGAGTAATTGAGGCTTAGAAAGATGAACAAACTCACCCAGAGCCACACAGAGAATAGTAGGTGTTCTTGTACAGAAACCATATTCTCAGTCACACAGGGAAACTGCCTTGTTTACTGTCTTTCCTGCCATTGCAACTCTGCACTCCCTCCTTGATTAGGCTCTTAAAGATGCCCATTTACTTGTCCTCAATCATCTTATTCTCTCACAATCTCCCTGGCTAATCACCTTCCCCAGGCACTCTCAGTAATATCTTTTCATCTCAGCATACTATTCATTTTCACCAAGCAACAGCAGTCATTCATTCATTCATCAAACTTTTTGCAAGTACCACCTCTGTGCTCACTGTTCTAGGTCGTGGGTATTTCATAGTGAGCAAGACAAATTCTGGCTCCTGTGGAGCTTAAATTCTGGTAGAAGAGTCAGACTTTCAACAAATATGCAAGTAGGTTTATGACATGATATTGGGCAGAAGAAGGGGATAGAGAGTGATGGGGGGGGTGGATTTTCTCTGAGGAGAAGACACAGGAGAAGACCTGAAGTGAAGGAGCAGACCATGTGAATATATAGATAAATAACAGTGTATAGTTTGGAATAGCAGGTACAAAGGCTCTGAGGCAGGAACATGTTCCTATGAAAAGGAGCACTAAAGAACCTGGTATGCTGGAGGTCAGTGAAGAGCAGAGAATAAAGTCAGCAAGGTGACATCATCAAGGGCTTAGTAAGCCACATGTGATGGGAAGATACTGCAAGGCTATGAGCAGACCATCTGACTTAAGTTTTAAAAGTACCATTCTTGCCACACCATGCATGTCCTACTTAAATTTTAAGCAATCTGTTAATTAATCATGGCTCTCAGGTATGATTCCTTTCAAGTGTCTTTCTCCTTGCTGGTCCCAACCTCTATGGATTTATTCTCTGCTTTATTGTTACTGTTTCTCATTCTTCCCTAAAATATCTCCTTTGAATTTCTTCATTCTCATCAAAACCCTTTTCATTTCCCTGAAGAGGCCTTCACTGATTCATCATTTTCTGGCTCCTGAACCTCTATCCTGTCCCTCCTTACTTTTGCCTTCCCCTTGGATGGGTCTTCATCTCTCCCCCTACCCTGCATTAGAATTATCCTGGGTCACACAGACAGATTTTCTATAGATGGGCCTCAAGAAATCAGACGTTTTATTTTTTAATCTTTACCCAAGGATATTTTCCCATTGATTTTAGATAGAGTGGAAGGGAGAGAGAGAGAGAGAGAGAGAGAGAGAGAGAGAGAGAGAGAGAGAGAGAAACATTGATGTGAGAGAGACACTTTGATTGGTTGCCTCCCGCAACACCCTGACTGGGGCCAGGAATTGAACCTACAATTCAAGTACATACCCTTGACGCAGAATTGAACCCATGACACTTTGGTGCACAGGCTAACACTCTAACCACTTAGCCACACCCACCAGGAGAGGGAATTGGTAATTTTTAATAGCACCCTAGGTTCTTCTGTGCTATGGGTTTGCAAACCATAGTTCTAAGTTTATAAACATGTGTAAGTCTCTTCATCTTAAACAGAAAACCTCTCACTTAACACTACAGTTCCCTCCCTCTCTCTCTCTCTCTCTCTCTCTCTCTCTCTCTCTCCTCAGCCAAAGTTCCTGAAAGATTTTCTAGTTTCACATGTGTTTACGGTGGCAGTGCAGGCATCAGGAATCTAGCAGCAATGACTGCTGTGAGTGCCTGTGAGGCAATGCCAGCAGAAACCTTCTAATCATACCATTGACTTTGGCTTGACCTTGGCTGGACTTTCTCTCTCTCTCCTAATAAGCCTTCCTTGGCTTCTATCATTCTTAAAGTTTCAGGTTACTACCTAATGTCCTTGCAGTATTTTTTTCCTTCTACTCAATATAACTAAAGTCAATTTTTATTATTTATAATTAAGAATCTTCAAAGAGTAGAGGGGAAAACAAACACAGCATTACTCTACATACAAAAAAAAACCTATTAATTTCTTTTATTCTTTAACTATATGTATATTTTGACATATTGCAATTATTTAGTTATATAAAATTATATACTCTAAGTTGATCTTTAAATTGTATAATTTAAAAGATGGTAGATATTTATCGTAGAAAATTTGAGAATACCCCCCACAAAAGTTTTAAGTACAACCCAGAGATAACTACTGTAAATAATTGGTCTAGTTTCTAAAAATTATTCTCTACATTTTTACAAAGCTAAGAATATATGTATTAATCTTAATGTTTATGAAAATTTAAAAACTTTAAAAGTTCTTAGATAAAAATAATATGAAGAGGTGCTAAGGAAGGGATATGAATGATGTATCACTCAATAGCAATTAAAAAACCTTAATGGAGGCAGATCCAAGATGGTGGGTAGGTAGACACTGAGCTTGCCACATCCCAAGAAAATATTGAATATATACCTATGTTTAGAGCAATTCCTCTTGAGAGACAACTGAGAGCCAGTTGAACAGCTTCTTCCCAAAAAGCTAGATGGAGACACCACACAGAGAAGGTTAGGGAACTATGAGATCTCTCCAGAAGCTGAGGGAACAATCCAGGACTAGAAGAACTAGGGGGCACCAATGTGTATATTTCCCTTGCACATGAATAATGAACAGAAGCTCATCTAAGTTCTGTGGCTGACCTACAGAGCATCCACAGCCATTCCTCCCGAAGCTACATTACCAATGACATATTTCACAGAACTAGAACAAACACTCCAAAAGTTTATATGAAACCAAAAAAAACCCTGAATAGCCACAGTAATCTTGAAAAAGAATAAAGTAGAAAGGATCACAATACCAAATATCAGGTTTTACTACAAAGGCACTGTAATCAAAACAGCCTGGTACTGGCAGAAGAACAGGCAGATAGATCAATAGAACAGAACAGAGAACCCAGAAATTGACTCAAGACAATATGCTTAATAAATATTTCACAAAGGTGGCAAGAGCATACAGTGGAATTATGACAGTCTCTTTAATAAATGGTGTTGGAAAAATTGAATAACTACTTGCAAAAAAAATGAAGCTAGACCACCAACTTACACCATACACAAAAATAAACTCAAAATGGATAAAAACTTTAATGTGACTCATGAATCCATAAAAATCCTAGAAGAAACTGTAGACAACAAAATTTCAGAAATCATACGCAGCAGAATTTTCACTGATACATCACCCAAGGCAATTGAAACAAAGAGAAAAAATAAACACATGAGACTACATCAAACTAAAAAGCTTCTTCAGAGCAAAAGATACAATCATCAAAATGGAAAGGCAACCCACTATATGGGAGAGCATCATCACCAATGATATATCAGATAAGGGGTTAATTTCCAATATATATAGAGTACTTATACAACTCAACAAAAGGAAGATAAAGAACCCAATTAAAAAATGGGCAGAGGAACTAAATAGACACCTTTCCAAACAGGACATACAAATGGCTAAGAGACATATGAAGAAATGCTCAACATCACTAATCATCAGAGAGATGCAAA